CTCAACTGACTGAGCCACCAAGGCGCTCCAAGGTGTTCTCTGTTATAACATGGGAAATAATTTGGCCAAATTGCGTTGTAGTGTCTTGTGGAAAGTTGAAATTGTAGTGATGGTCATGGATATTTAAGGAGATTTCTAAGCAAAGTATTGAAAGCACATCCTGGTTTATCTTTGCTGCTTATAGTAAAATGTGAGAGCAGAATAATAAGTTGAAGAAATTGTTAAGGGAAAAAGAACCATAACTTGAATATTTGGAAAATTCTTAACTTATCCATATTGTGAAATACAAGAAAGCTTGCTCTGGAAAGAATACCAAAGTGTGGCTGGAAAACAGCTGCATAAAGAGATTACAGGTATAACTCATTGACTTAACCAGCCATATTAGCAGAAGCCAAGAATAGAGATGGAATTATATCAGAAGAAAAACTGCCAGGTTGAATTAAAGGGAATAGGGATGGGGCAAAATCAAGGAAAGCTGTTAGATTTCTGGGATTTGACAGGATGGGTCAATAGAACTATCCAGTTGTGAATATGAAGTTTTCTTCAAGAAAAGAGAATGACCTCCCAAATGACTGAATGATCAACAAGGCTGACACTCGGAGCTCAGAGCAATCACCATGATGAGTTGGAAGACAGAGAATTTAGCCAAAGAAGATTACTTTCTTTTAAGTTTTTATTTTAATTCCATTTAGTTAACAAAGGGTATTATATTAGTTTCAGGTGTACACTTGTAGTGATTGAACATTTCTATACATCACATGCTCATCACAAGTGCACTCCTTAATCCCCATCACCTATTTCACCCATCTGTCCACTCACCTCCCCTCTGAAAACCATCAATTTGTTTTGTTTGGTTTGTTCCCTATGATTAAGAGTCTACTTCTTGATTAACTCTCTTATTTTTCTCTTTGCTTGTTTGCTTTGTTTCTCTCTGTTTGTTTTGTTTCTTAATTCCACATATGAGTGAAACCATATGCTATTTGTCCTTCTCTGAGTGACTTATTTCACTTAGCATAATGCTCTCTAGGTCCATCAATGTCATCACAAATGGCAAGATTTCATTCTTATTTTTTGTATATTCCACTTTATATATATACCACATCCTCTTTATACATTCATCAAATAATGGACACTTGGGCTTCTTCCATATCTTGGCTATTGCAAATAATCCTCCAATAAATGTAGGGGTGCATGTATCACTTTGAATTAGTGTTTTTGTATTCTTCAGGTAAATACCCAGGAGTGTGATAGATGGGTAATCAGGTAGTTATTTTTAAGTTTTTTGGGGAAAATCTATACTTTTTTCTAGAGGCTGCACCAGTTTGCATTCTACCAACAGTGCAGGAGTATTCCTTTTTCTCCACATTCTCACCAACACCTGTTGTTTCTTGTGTTATTAATTGTAGCCATTCTGACAGGTGTGAGGTGTAGTTTTGATTTGCATTTCCCTGATGATGAGTGTTGTTAAACATCTTTTCATGTATCTGTTAGTCATCTGGGTGTATTCTTTGGAAAAATGTCTATTCATGCATTCTGCCTATTTTTAAACTGAATTATTTGTTTTTTGGGTGTTGAGTTTTATGAGTTTTTTATATATTGTGGAGATGAAACCTTTATCAGATATGTTATTTACAAATATCATCTCCCATTATGTAGCTGCCTTGTAGTTTTTTATTTTGCTGTGCAGAGCTTTTAATCTTGATGAAGTCCCAATAGTTTATTTTTGATTTTGTTTCCTTGCCTCAGGAGACTTATTTAGAAAAAAAAGTTGTTATGGCTTATATCATAAGTTGTTATGCCTGTAGAATATGCTAGAATTTTTATGGTTTCAGGTCTATTGAGGCTTTTTTTGTAGGCTAACATGTTATCTATTCTGTAGAATGTTCCATGTACACTTGAAAAGAATATGTATTCTGCTGGGTTTTTTGGATGGAATATTCTGAACAAATCTGTTAAATTCACCTGGTACAATGTGTCATTCAAAGTAGTTTTCTTGTTGATTTTCTTTTTTTTTAAGTTTATTTATTTATTTTGAGAGAGAGAGAAAGAGCACAAGTGGGGGAGGACCATACAGAGAGAGGGAGAGAGAGAGAATCCCAAGCATGCTCTGCCCTGTTATGCCCCAGTGGGGTCGAACTAATGAACCATGAGATAATGACTTGAGTTGAAACCAAGAGTGGGAAGCTTAGCTGACTGAGCCACCCAGGCTCACCCTTGTTGATTTTCTATTTGGATGTTCTGTTCACTGATGTAAGTGTAGCATTAAAGTCCCCTACTATTATTGTATTACTATCAATTAGTTACTTTATGTTTGATATTAACTGTTATATGTATTTGGGTACTCTCACATTGGGTGCATAAATATTTGCAATTGTTGTATTTTCTTGATGTATTATCTCCTTTATTATATACAGTGTCCTTCTTTGTTCCTTGTTACAATCTTTGTTTTGAAGTCTATTTTTCCAATATAACTATTGGAAATAGTTGGCTATTGGAATACTCTGGCTTTCTTTTAACATCCATTTGCATGCATGAGCAATATTTCTGCATCCCCTCACTCTCAATACACAGGTGTCTTTAGGTCTAAAATGAGTCCCTTGCAGGCAGTATATATAGATAGGTTTGTTTTTGTTTTTTGTTTTTTGTTTTTAATTTAAATCCAAATTAGTTAGCATATAGGGCAACAATGATTTCAGGAGTAGGTTCCTTAGTGCCTCTTACCCATTTATCCCATCCCCCCTCCCACAACCCCTCCAATAACCCTCAGTTTGTTCTCCATATTTGTGAGTCTCTTCTGTTTTGTTCCCATCCCTGTTTTTATATTATTTTTGTTTCCCTTCCCTTATGTTCATCTGTTTTGTCTCTTAAAGTCCTCATATGAGTGAAGTCATAGGATTTTTGTCTTTCTCTGACTAATTTCACTTAGCATAATACCCTCCAGTTCCATCCATGTAGTTGCAAATGGCAAGATTTCATTCTTTTTGATTGCCGAGTAATACTCCATTGTGTATATATGTGTGTATATATATATGTGTGTATATATATATATATATATATATATATATATATATATATATCACATCTTCTTTATTCATTCATCCATTAATGGACATTTTGGCTCTTTCCATACTTTGGCTATTGTTGATAGTGCTGCTATAAACATGGGGGTGCATGTGTCCCTTCAAAACTGCACACTAGTATCCCATGGATAAATACCTAGTAGTGCAATTGCTGGGTCGTAGGGTAGTTCTATTTTTAGTTTTTTGAGGAACCTCCACTCTGTTTTCCAAAGTGGATGCACCAGCTTGCATTCCCACCAACAATGCAAAAGAGATCCTCTTTTTCTGCATCCTCACCAACATCTGTTGTTGCCTGAGTTGTTAATGTTAGCCACTCTGCCAGGTGTCAGGTGGTATCTCATTGTGGTTTTGATTTGCATTTCCCCGATGATGAGTGATGTTGAGCATTTTTTCATGTGTTGGTTGGCCATCTGGATGTCTTCTTTGGAGAAGTGTCTATTCATGTCTTTTGCCCATTTCTTTACTGGATTATTTGTTTTTTTGAGTGTTGAGTTTGGTAAGTTCTTTATAGATTTTGGATACTAACCCTTTATCTGGTACGTCATTTGCAAATATCTTCTCCCATTCTGTCATTTGCCTTTTAGTTTTGCTTATTGTTTCCTTCACTGTGCAGAAGCTTTTTATTTTGATGAAGTCCCAGTAGTTCATTTTTGACTTGTAAGGTTTTTAGGAGTGTATTGTTTAATTTCCACCTCATTATGAATTCCCCAAATTTCTTTCTGTTATCCATTTATGATACAATATCTTAGTGGTCACAGATTATGAATTGAATGATTTCAATTCTTTTAAATATAGTGATGTGGATTTTATGGCTTAACAAATAATCTTTCTGGAGAATGCTCCATGGCATTTGGGCAATATGTATATTCTATTATTGTTGTATCTGTATTTCTACAGATGCCTGTTAGGTGTTAAGTTTTTTATTTCTTAATTAATCTTGCCTAATTGATCTATTTTTTAAGAGTCTATGGAGGTAAAATTGACAAAAATTTTACATATTTAAGGTTTAAAACACAATGATTTCATAGAAGTATGCACTGTGAAATGATTACCACAATCAAGTTAATTAATACAGCCCTCACCTCATATAGTTACCTTTTTTTTTTGTTTACTAAGGTGAGAATATTTAAGACATCTGTTTGCAAATTTTGAGTATACAATACAGTATTAACTACAGTCATTATGCTTTACATTAGATTCTTAGAAACTATTTTTTTAAAATTTTTTTTAACGTTTATTTATTTTTGAGACAGAGAGAGACAGAGCATGAACGGGGGAGGGGCAGAGAGAGAGAGGGAGACACAGAATCGGAAGCAGGTTCCAGGCTCTGAGCCATCAGCCCAGAGCCCGACGCGGGGCTCGAACTTACAGACCGCGAGATCGTGACCTGAGCTGAAGTCGGATGCTTAACCGACTGAGCCACCCAGGCACCCCTAGATTCTCAGAAACTATTAATCTTAAAACTGAAGTTATTACCCTGTGACCAAAATCTGCTCACTTTCCTCACCCCTTAGCCCCTGAAAAGTACCATTCCACTCTCTGATTTTATGAATTTGACTTTTTAAGATTTAATATATAAGTAAATTTATATAGTACAGTTGGCATTTGAACAACATGGGTTATAACTGTGCAGGTCCACTTATACATGGACTTTTTTTTTTTACAGTATAGTATTGTAAATGTATTTTTTCCTTATAATTTTTAAAGTTTTCATTTTAGTTCCAATTAGTTAACATACACTGTTATGTTGGTTTCAGGTATACAATATAGTGATTCAGCACTTCCATACATCACCCTGTGCTCATTGCAAGTTAACTCCTTAACCTTTATCACCTATTTAACTATCCCCCCATTTATAATCATCCCCACTGGTAAACATCAGATTTTTACTTATAATTGAGGGACTGTTTCTTCTCTCTCTCTCTCTTTCTCTCTCTCTCTCTTACCTTTTCCTTTTCTTTGTTTTGTTTCTTAACTTCCACATATGAGTCAAATCATACTGTATTTGTCTTTCTCTGGTTTATTTTGCTTAACATTATACTTTTTAGATCCATCCACATCACTGCAAATGGCAATATTTCATTTTTCTTTTTTTATATATTCCATTGTGTGTGTGTGCGTATTCAAATTATGGATGTTATAACAATGATGCTATAAACATCGGGGAGCATGTGCCCCTTCAAATCAGTATATTTATATTGTTTGGTTAAGTACTTAGTAGTGCAATTACTGGATCCTAAGGTAGTTCTATTTTTAACTTTTTAAACATCCATGCTGTTTTTCAGAGTGGCTGCACCAGTTTGTATTCACACCTACAGTGTAAGAGGGTGCTCCTTTCTCCACATCTTTGCCAACATCTCATTTCCTAAGTTGATAATTTTAGCCATTCTGACAGGTGTGAGGTGGTATCTCATTGCAGTTTTTATTTGAATTTCCCTGATGATGAGTGACGTTTAGCATCTTTTCATGTGTCTGTTAGCCATCTGGATGTCTTCTTTGGAAAAATGTCTATTCATGTCTTTTGTCTATTTCTTCACTGGATTACTTGTTTTGTTTTGTTTTTGACGGGGCTTGTTGACTTTGGTAAGTTCTTTATAGATTTTGGATATTAACCCTTTATAGATATGTAATTTGCAAATACCTTCTCCCATTCTGTCAGTTGCCTTATAGTTTTGTTGATTGTTTCCCATGCTGTGCAGGATCATTTTATCTTCTTTTAAAAATATTTTTAACATTTATTTATTTTTGAGAGAGAGAGAGAGAGAGAGAGAGAGAGAGCACTAGTGGGGGAGGGGCAAAGAGAGAGAGGGAGACAGAATCTGAAGCAGGCTCTAGGCTCCAAGCTGTCAGCACAGAGCCTGATGTGGGGCCTGGACTCACGAACTGTGAGATCATGACCTAAGCTGAAGTCATACATTCAACCGACTGAGCCACCCAGGTGCCCCCAGAAGCATTTTATCTTGATGAGGTCACAATAGTTCATTTTTGCTTTTATTTCTCTTGCCTCCAGAGACATATCAAGTAATAAGTTGCTGAAGCCTGAATCAAAGAGGTTGCTGTTTTATCTTCTAGAATTGTGATGGTTCCCTGTATCACATTTAGGTCTTTTGTCTATTTTGACTTTATTTTTGTGTATGGTGTACGAAAGTGGTCCAATTTCATTCTTCTTAATGTTGCTGTCCAGTCTTCCCAGCACCCTTCATTGAAGACACTGTCTTTTTTCCGTTAGATATTCGTTCCTGCTTTTCAAAAGATTATTTGACCATATACTTGTGGGCCCATTTCTGGGTGTTCTGTTCAATTGATCTATGTATCTGTTTTTGTATCAGTACCATACTGTCTTGATTACTACAGCTTTGTAATATAACATGAAGGCTGGAATTGTGATGTCTTCAGCTTTGCTTTTCTTTTTCAAGGTTTCTTTGGCTATTCTGTGTCTTTTGTGGTTCTATGCAAATTTTAGGATTGTTTGTTCTAGCTCTGTGAAAACTGCTGATGTTTGTTTGATAGGTATTACACCAAAGGTGTAGATTGCTTTTGTATTATAGACATTTTAACAACGTTTGTTCTTCCAATCCATGACGATGGAACGTTTTTCCATTTTTTTGTATACTCATCAGCTTCTTTCATTAGTGTTGTATCATTTTCCAAGTACAGATCTTTTATCTCTTGGGCTATGTTTACTACTAGGTATCTTATGGTTTTTAGTGCAATTGTGAATGGGGTTGATTCCTTGTTTTCCCTTTATGCTGCTTCATTATTGGTGTATAGGAATGCAACAAATTTATGCACATTGATTTTTTTTATCCTGTGGCTTTATTGAATTCATTTAGTAGTTCTAATAGTTTTGGTGGAATCTTTAGCATTTTCTGTATAGAGTATTATGTTATCTGCAAATAGTAAATTTTTTACTTTTTCCTTACCACTTTGAATGTGCTTTATTTCCTTTTGTTGTCTAGTTTCTGTGAATAGGAATTCAAGTACTATGTTGAATTAAGGTGATGAGAGTGAACATGCGTGTCTTGTCCCTGACCTTACAGGGAACACTCTCAGTTTTTCCCCATTGAGGGTAATATTTGCTGTGGGTTTTTTTTTGTATGTGGCCTTTATTATGTTGAGGTATGTTCCCTCTAAACTTACTTTGTTGAGGGTTGTATTTTTTCAAATGCTTTTCCTGAATATATTAAGATAATCATGTTTTTATACTTTCTCTTATTGATGTGATGTATCACATTGATTGATTTGAGAATTTTGAACCACCCTTGAAGCCCAGGGATAAACCCCACTTGATCATGATGAATGTTTTTTTTTTAATGTATGGGATTTTGTTTGCTGGTTTTGCATCAAAGTTCATCAGTTATTTGTCTGCTGTTACCTTTTTTTTAATGATGTCTATCTGACTTTGGTATAGAGTGATACTCACCTTAGAGAATGAATTTGGAAGTTTTCCTCCTCCTATTTTTTGGGAGTTTGAGAATAATAGGTATTAGCTCTTCTTTAAATGTTTTGTGGAATTTCCTTGTGAAGCCATCTGGTCCTGGGCTTTTGTTTGTTGAGATTTTTTTAAATTACCGATTCAATCTCCTTGATGGTAACCAGCCTGTTCAAATTTCTATTCCTTTCTGCTTCAGTTTTGGTAGGTTATGTGTTTCTAGGAATTTATTAATTTCTTCCCAGTTGTCAAATTTGTTGGCATAGTTTTTCATAATATTGTCTTACCATGGTTTGCATTTTTGTTGTGGTGGTTTTTATTTTTTCCTCTTTTATTCTTGATATTGTTTATTTTAATTCTCTTTCTCTTTCTCCTTGATGAATTTATCATGTTTTTTATCTTTTCAAAGAACTAGTTCTTAGTTTCCTTGATCTGCTGTATTGTGTTTTTAGTTTCTATACAATTTATTTCTACCCTAATATTATTTCTTTCCTTCTGCTGGCTTTGGGTGTTGTTTTTCTTTTCCTACCTTCCTTAGGTGTAAGTTTAGGTTATTTTCTGAACTTCTTTTTGCTTCTTGAGTTAGGCCAATGTGGTTACAAACTTCCCTCTTAGAACTGCTTTTGCTACATTCCAAAAGTTATGGACTGTTTTGTTTTCATTTCCATTTGTTTCCATGTATTTTTTAAAATGTTTTTAAAAATTTATATCTAAATTAGTTAGCATATAGTGCAACAATGATTTCAGGAGTAGATTGCTTAGTGCCCCTTACCCATTTAGCCCCTTCCCCCTCCCACAACCCCTCCAGTAACCCTCAGTTTGTTTTCCATATTTATGAGTCTCTTCTGTTTTGTCCCCCTCCCTGTTTTTATATTATTTTTGTTTCCCTTCCCTTATGTTCATCTGTTTTGTCTCTTAAAGTCCTCATATGAGTGAAAAAGAAAACCAAAGCAGGAGGCATCACAATCCGAAACTTTAAGCTATACTACAAAGCTGTAATCATCAAGACAGTGTGGTACTGGCACAAGAACAGACACTCAGATCAATGGAACAGAATAGAGAACCCAGAAATGGACCTACAAACGTATGGCCAATGAATCTTTGACAAAGCAAGAAAGAATATCCAATGGAATAAAGACAGTCTCTTCGGCAAGTGGTGCTGGGAAAACTGGACAGCGACATGCAGAAGAATGAACCTGGACCATTTGTTTTCCATGCATTTTTAATTTATTTCTTGATTTCTTCGTTTACCCATTCATCATTTATTAGTATGTTATTTAACCTAAATGTGTTTGTAGTCTCTCCAGATTTTTTCCTGTAGTTGGTTTCTAGTTTCATAGTATTGTGATCAGAAAAGACACATGGTATGACTTTGAACTTGCATTTGTTGAGGCTAGTTTTGTGGGCTACTGTGTGATCTATTCTAGAGAATGTTCCATGTGAACTTGAAAAGAATGTGTATTTTTCTGTTTTAGAATGAAATGTTCTGAATATATCTGTTAAATCCATCTGGTCCAGTTTGTAATTCAAAGATATTGCTCCTTATTTTCTGTTCAGGTTATCTGTCCATTGGTGTAAATGTGCGTGTTAATTTCCCCTACTATTATTATATTATTATATATTATTTCCTTTAGTTTATTATTAATTGTTTATGTATTAACTGCTCCTATTTTGGGTGCATAGATATTTACAATTGTTACATCTTCTGGTTGGATCGTCTCCTTTAATATCACATAGTGCCCTTCTTAGTTTCTTGTTGCAGACTTTGTTTTAAAGCCTATTTTGTGTGACATATGTTTGCTACTTTGGCTTTCCTTTGACATCCATTTGCATGATCAATGTTTCTCCATTTCCTAACTTTCTATCTGTGGGTGTCTTTAGGCCTAAAATGAATCTTTTGTAGGCAGAATATAGATGGGTCTTGTTTTCATGTTCACTCTATTATCCTATGTCTTTTGATTTTAGTATTTGGTTCATTTACATTGAAAGTAATTATTGATAAATATGCACTTATTGCCATGTTATTACTTATTTTGTGGTTGTTTTGTAGTTTTTCTCTTATCCTTTCTTCATTTGCTCTTTTATGGTTTGCTGTGTGTCTTTAGCATTATACTTGGATTTCCAACTATTTATTCTTTTTCCTATTATTGTTTTTTGATTTGCAGTTATCGTTCTGTTTATATCTAACATTTTCTGCATATAGCAGCCTATGTTAAACTCATGTCTGCTTAATTTTGTACTAATTTATTCCTCTCCATCCACATTTCAGATATTTGGCATCATATTTTATATCCTTTTATTTTGTGCTTGTTGAGTGATTTTTATAAGTATACTTAATATTTTTTTTTGCTTTTGTACTTTCTATTTTTCTTACTCTTACTTATGATTTTTGTTTCCCACTGAGAGGTTTTTAATCTTTTTTGTTGGGCTGGTTTAGTGGTCATGAATTCTTTTAACGTTTGTTTTCTAAGAAACTATTCAGCTTTCCTTATATTCTGAAT